AAGGAGGGTGGAGTTGTGAGGAGACACCAGGACTGAGGAAGCAGCATGGGTAGCACAGTGTAAGGGTTAATATAGCCATGAAACAAAAAGCAAATTAATAGAAATGCGTTAATTTAAATTGTAACAGCTAGTTAGTAACAAGCCTACGCTATTGGCTGAGCTTTCATAAATAATAAAAAGTCTCCGTGTCATGATTTGGGAGCTGGCAGGAGGGACAGAAAAAAATCCACCTATACCCAGGGTTGTTGCCAAGACTATAGGTTGCTCTCCATAAACTGACAGCAAGGCCCCATTGCTGAAGACAACACCTACACAACTCAGTGAACATGGAGATGTCAAGCTGGTGCCTACAAAAGAGACTTCACCTATACCAGTTAGCATCTGGTACAGGAAGATATTCTGCATGCTACCAAAAGAGAAATGTCAACACCAACCCCGCTACAAAACCTTTGATCTACAGTGGTGTCCTGCCTTCAAGATATGCTAGTATAATGGTGGCACAAAGCTTGTGGGAGTCACCAACGAGTGTCTGATTTGACCTAAGGGCCACTCCACAAATGGAACCCATACCCAACACTGCTTGAATGACCAAGAACCTAAGACTAAATAGCCCAGGGACCTAGTAGTAAATACTACTGTTCTTTAAAAAAAGGTAGCCATAAAATGACGTTAACAACATTCTATTATACTCATAGACCAGTGCTTTGCTCAGCCATCAGCAGAGAAGCTTCCTCCTGCAGCAGATGGGAACAAATACAGAGACTCACAGTCAGACACTATGCAGAGAGTACGAGACCTTGGAAAACTCAGCCATAATGGGATATCTCCATCAAATCCCTCCCCTCAAGGCTCATGGAACCCTGTGGAAGAGGAGGCAGAAAGAATATAAGAGGCAGAAAGGAAAAGAACACCAAGAGGGAAAAAAAGCCTTCTAAATAAGTGGTTCTCAACCTGTGGGGCATGACCCCATTGAAAGACATCTGTCTCCAGAAATATTTACATTATGATTTATAACAGTAGCAGAATTACAGTTATGAAATAGCAATGAAAATAATTTATGGTTGGGGGTCACCACAACATGAGGAACTGTATTAAAGTGTTGCAGCATTAGGAAGGTTGAAAATCACTGCACTGAATCAACATCATCCATGCCCATATGAACTCACAGAGACTCAGACAGCATGCACAGGGCCTGCATGGGTCTACATCGGATGGGGTCCTAGAGCTCAAAGGAGAAGTGGGCATATGCCCCCATCCCTAACCAGAAGCTCTCTCCAATTGATAACCACCTGCAAATGAAAATGTAGTTTTCTCCACGGAAGTCTCAATACGGAAATAAACTACTTGTAAGGGTAGGTTGCATGCCCAGCAGTAGATAGTCAGCAGAAAATGAACTTGACTGCATTTTTGGAGGTTCCTTGTCTCATAATGTCATGTCACGGTTTTTCTTTTTAAATTTTATCTTATTTTTTATTTTTTTCATTTATATATTTTTCTTCTCTCTTTTTTACCCCGCAGGTCCTTTGAGTACATATTTCCTTTCAGTTTAGTGTTCCGACAGGATTCCTGAGTGTGCTAATGAGTGTCTCTCTGTTTCTTTTGCCTTCTCTTGGGCTCTTTTCCTTCTGTTTGTTTTGTCCTATTCCAATGTGCTAGTTTTTGTTTTGTCTTATTATTTTATATTATATTTTAATATTACCCCTTAGAAGTCTGCTTCTTAATGAGACAGAAAGGGGGTGGATCCAGATGTGAGGGGAGGTGGGGTAGAACTGGAGGAGTAGAGGAGGGAAACTAATCAGGATGTATTATGCGAGAAAAAAAATCTATTTTCAACAAAATGTTCAAAAAAATACTAGTAACATTTAAAAAAAGTTTGCCAGGACACACTGCTGGCAGCCCTGGCTCAGGAAAGCTCCATCAGGTGAGTCAGGGATACAACAGAACAGGATTATGACCTTTATTTGTGGAGCAGAAGGACAGATGCTGGCTTTCTCTCCCATGTGGCCCTCCACGGGGACATTTTCTTCTTCAGCCCCTTTCCCACCTGGACTTGCCTTCTCGGAATTCCCTTTTATGACAACAGGACTCTTCTAATACCCGTGTGCCTAGCAGACTGGCCCAGGCCAGGCCTTGTTGACCTGCCCCAAAGGCTCAGCACACAGAAGTCTGTCTGTCCAGGCAATTATGTGCCATGTCTTGCCAGTGCATTCCTCATGCCTTCTGGACATACCGACATCTTAATGACTTTGGAGCCTGTGCCTTCAGATGTCTCTAACCAATGGCTCTTAGCTGTGAACCTGCTTTCGTACCTGCTGTGACACATGTTCCCACAGGACAGCACAGTCATTCCGTCTGTGACCTTCTTCCCTGGCATGTATGTGGCCTGGGGGCTTTGGTGGATGTGAAGGGGCTGAAGAGCAGCCAGTCAGATCTCAACTCCCTTCTCCCCTCACACACCTGGATTTGAAGCTGGGGTGGTTGTGTAGAAGTCACAGTGAGAAAGTGTAGACCACCGCTGGCTTCTTTCTGTACAGGTCAGCTGAAGGCATATCAGACAGACCACCAGCAAAACGTAATGTTCAGGGCCTGGGAGCAAAAGCTGTGAGAAGAGGTGTGCCTTCTCCTCAGATGTGAGACATTGCTGTCGGTGGTCCTAGGGAACACAGTGGATTTAAGATGCATCCTGACGTCAAAGTTGTTAACATACTCAAGGGAGTCTGTCTTAGAATTGGTGGCATACAAGTTACACACTGTGTCACCTTTTGAAGAGCAGTGGTGTGGCATCACTGGAGAGAAAACACATGTGCACACATAACAGCCACTGGAGACAGAGCAGCCTCTGCTGGACCACGAAAGAACAGTGGCACTCTGGGCACGTTAGGGGTTAAGATTGTACAGTGGAGGTTCCCAGGATCTTGAAGAACAGACTGGGGCAATGTCACTCATGTAGAACTGAGGAGGGTCACTGAGAAGAGTGAAGGGCAAACACAGGAGAAGTGGTGTGGAAAAGGCAGACGGGTGTCTGAAGGGGAGAGCAGGAAATGATAAGGCAGGAAAAGTCTGCCTCCGAATTATGGTCATCTCTAGGGCGTCTGGATTGTAGTCATTGAGCAGCAGGAAGTAGAGGGATCTAAAGAAGGGGAGCAGGCTTCAAAGTCGGCTAGGAATATTAACGTGGTGGTGCCCTGAGAACCTATGGGAGGAAGACACTGTGGGCATCACCAGAAGCCCAGGCAGCAAGGAGCAGCTCAGGAGTGTGGAATGAAAGGAAGGGATGACAAGAAACAGAGAAAAGCAAGCAGCAAAGCTAAGCGGAAAGGGCTGGAAGCCACAGACATGATGCCAGGAGCCAAGAACCAAGAAGGCTCTGTGATAGTCCTGAGGCCTGATTCCCCCCGCCCCCAAACTCTTGAGAATGACAGAAATCATTCTTGCACCCACAAGACATCTCAGCCAGAGGTTGCTGATGTTTGGTACCGTTTCCCCTTCTCTCTCTCATGCATGTGTGTGAGTATGTGAATGTGTAGTACATGCACAGGTGTGTGCATGCAAGCATGTGCAGCCATGCAGAAGAGAGGCCAGAGGAGGATGCTGGGTGTCCTTCTCTAATGCTCTTGGCCTTCTCCCCTTAAGACAGGGTATCTCACTGAAACTAGCTGGGCTGGCAGTCAGGAAGCTCTAGCTGTCCTCCTGTCTTTACCCCACCCCTAATGCTAGTGTTATAGGCATGAAGTGACTCCCAGCTTTCTACATGGGGGCAAGGGATTTGAACTCAGATCTCTATGCTTAGCCGAGAATTTTCACTCACTAAAGCACCTCCCTAGCTCAGTTTCTCCTTCTCTATCACGCTCCTTACGATGCTGGTATCTTTAATGACGCCATGCAAGGGGAGGAACCCACATCCTATGGTTATAAGTAAGCAGGACTCTTCCAGGCAGCCTCATTTGCTCCTGCACCATTGCAATGCAGAAAAACAAGAGCATACCGAGTGACCTTTAGAAGAAAACAGGAAATCAGCAGCAAACCTGGGAACTGGCCCGAGGTCGCAGTCTCCACTAATGGATCTCTGTGTTTGTTTTCCCTAGACCTGATCACCTTTGGTAGATCAATGGGCTGTGTGAATGTCAGCCCCCTTGAGAATTCTAGATAATGGCCTTGCTCTGCTCCACCTGAGAGATGATGTGTTTGCAGGGCAAGAACTCTCATTGTTGAGTTCTGTGTCTAGCTTTGAGATGTTGGTGGAAGAGGTGTAACTGGCCTACTATGAGTGATTGGCCATCACGCACAGGGGTCAAGCCCTTGACTGTTCATGGCCCTGAGGCCTGCTGCAGCCATGGGTCTCTGAAAGGATGCATTGCTTTTCAAAGCCAAGGTCCAGAGAAACCAGAGGTATGGGTTATTATCTTCTCTTTCCCACTTGAGCAGACCTGCCCATGTACTTAAGGGGCAAGTCTGGCTCCACTCTACGTATTTCTAATGGGCTCCAAGCAGTGTCCATTAGCAGACAGATGAATTATTGAACACTTTCTAGCTGGTGGTGCCCAGGCCCTATTCTACAGGGTGGAGATTCCATGGGGAAGAACATTCAAGAAGAGAAACTGAGATATGGCAAATAAACAAGTAAAGATTATTTTGATGCAGATGGGATTCTGAAGAAAATGAGCCGCTGCAGAGCAGGAGGGCTGCTGACCTGCGCAAATAGGGAAGGGCCTGTCTGGAAAGGCCAGAGTGATGAGGAAGGAGCAGACACGGCAAAGGACGGGAAAGTCGGCCTGGTGGCAGTGAGGACAGTACGTAGCAGCGCAGGGTCCACCCACAACCCAAGTATGTTAGGAAAGATCCGATCTGGTTTCCTCTGTAGCATCATCACAGAGCAGGTGCAGGGAGATGTGCTAGAATCAGAGGTTGGAGCAGAAGCTCCGATTCAGGACGTGAGCCGGGAGGAAATTCTAGAGAAAAGTTCTAGCACTGACCATGGTATAGCTAAGGGGTGAGAGAACTTGACTCACTCTGGGTTTTATTTAGTAGGTGGGTAGCAGTGGGAGGTTTGGAAACTGCCAGCAGTGGACTGGAGCAACCCATCCTCAGAAGCTGCAAAGCAGAGGCAGGAGGCGAGGTCATGAGTTTCCCAGGGCTGCTGAAACAAGCCAGGTTGCTTCCAACAGCAGATAGATACTCTCTCTGTTCTGGAGCCAGAAGTCCAAAGTTCAGGGTCAGGAGGACCACACTCCCTCCGAATCCTTCCTCGCCTCTCCAGCGTCTGGTCCATCTTCTGCAGCACTGAATTCCTAGGCTCACGGCTGTATCTCTCGAGTCTCTGCCTCCATTGCCACGGGCATTCTGCCCTGTGCCTGTATCCAAGTCACCCTCCCTCACCAGCCATGGGATTAGGCCCATGTGAGTCCAGTGTAACCCCCTTTTACTTGATCAAAATTACAAAGGCTCTGCTTCATGGTGGACATGAATCTTGGAGGGACACGTTAAACTCATATAGTTCTCCAGGGAAAGGGTGTAGAAGAAACCTGGTAAGTAAAAAGCACACTAGTTACCATGCTTGTTTTTATTTGTTTAAATTTATCATATCTTATCATATCATGTTCTAATGCATGAGTTTATGTGTGTGCATACATATGTGTCACTGGTCAGGTGCCATCCCCTTGGTTTTTTGTTTGTTTGTTTGTGTTTTGAGAAGCATTGTTTTAAGCAAAGAACGCTCATTATGTTGCATGCAGCTGATGAACAGGGATGAGGGTATAATGACCTTTTGGATTGGAAACAGCAAGATACTAGGTGGCCTTAGAGTCTGTGATGGTTAATCTTGATGGCCAGCATGATCGACTTGAGATGCTCCTAGGCGATTAGTGTAGCACACCCGGGGGGTTTCTGTGAGGGTGTTTCTAGAGAGGAGTAACTGAAGTGGGAGAGACCTGCTCTGAACGTGGTGGACCATCCCACAGGTTGGGAGCAAAACAGGATAAGCGGGGAAGGGGGGCACTGTCTACAGCGGGCGTCCTCTCTCTCTGCTCCCCGCCTGCCTGCCATGCCTCCACGATGTTCGCCTCAAACGCAGGCGGCCAAACAGCCAGGCCTGAACCCGGGGAGACCACAAGCCTGAGTGAGCCTTTCCTCCCTGAGCCCTTCCTGTCAAGTGTTCGTCACAACAGCACAAGAGCCACTACCTGGTGAAGCAAAGGTGCGATCGACTCAGGCTGAAGACAGCACGGGACAGCAGGAAATTTAACCAGCAAATCCAGACACCGTCTCCCCGAATCTTGAGGGTAGAGTGGGGCACGCGGTCAAAGTCAGGATTAAAGGTTCTGAGGTGCTGGTAGCAGGAATCTTAAAAGTTCTTATTAATAAAATCAAACCCCAGCCAGGTATTGGCGTGAACTGGAAGATCAGAGAACCAGAACAAGCCACAGCTAACCTCACCTGGCTAACTTCTCAGCTGGTCTTGTTTCCTGACTGGAAGCTTCTGTGTCCTCATCCCAATGGCTCTCAGCTGAACTGATGCTTGAAAGTCTGAAAACCAGTCAAATGCTTAACCAGCCCAAATGCTTCTAGTTTCTGGTCCTCACACCTTATATACTTTTCTGCTTTCTACCATCACTCCCTGGGGTTAAAGGCTGGCTTTCTGGGATTAAAGGTGTGATGAGTCACCATGCCTGGCTGTATCCTTGAATACATGGATTTCTACCTCTGGAATGCTAGGATTAAAGGCGTGTGCTACCACTGCCTATCCTCAATGTTTAATATTGTGGCTGCTCTGTCTCTGACCCCAGATAAGTTTTTAACATTCATAATATTTCGGGGAACACAATACCACAGGTGTGTGTCTAAGAAAGACAGCCGAGCATCTACAGAGGGGCTGAGGCTGAACCTGGGAGAGAAGGCAGGCCGGGCCACCGCAGTGATCCGGGGTGGATGCAGGCTGGCACTCTGCACACCAGGAGAGTAGCTGGATTCAGGTGGGGCAGAGACGACAGGCACTAATAGGAAGAACTCCCCGTGGTAGAGTCAAGGTGAAGACAACAGGTTCTCTTTGATAGAGGGTCTGTCACAGCGGAGACCTGGAAATGGGGGAGGTGAGACAGCAGCTATGGACGGGGAGATTTAGAGAGAGGCAGAGGTACTCTGGGGTGATCGTGGCAGGCACTTAGCCCATGGATGCCACAGGAGATGGACTTGGAAGGGGAGTCTTTAGCTCCACCCAGCCTGCCCCTGCCTCCTGGGGGGATGTTTAGGACAAACATTGCTGGTGTTCTTCCACAGAGAGAGAGGAAACAAGGGGTTCAGGGGGTCACAAGGAGCAGTACGAATGAAAGCTAGGTGAGCAGGGCCAGGATTGGCAGTGGGGGTGCTGGGAAAGGGACACATGCACTGAAGGGATGAGCAGTCTCCTAAGTAGGACAGCTGCTGGCAGGAGGCATATAGAGCACAGAGCTAAGAAGACAAAGGCAGCGGCTGGGCTGAGTGCGGAATGGAGGCTTGAGAGGGAAACAGTGTTCGACTGTCACAGCCTAGAATTCAGCCATGTGAGCCAGTGACCTGGTGGGCAGAACAGAGGAGGCAAAGGAACTGTGAGGCCAAGGCGGCCACACATCCTCCTGAGAGCTGTACTTGTGCTGAAAACCTCTGGTTCCCTTCTGAGACAGGGCGCAGGAGGCAAAGGAAAGAAAGCATTTGCCGCCACCGCCACTTGAGGAGCTGAGATCGCAGAGGCCCAGGAACTGCAGGGAAGCCTGTCTGCCCACCTTCCTGACTTGCGACACTCCCAGAGGCCTGACGTACTGAGGGGGCCCCCAAACCAGGGGAGAGCAGCACATGGCACAGCCAAACCACCTTCCAAGAGGACACCAGCCAGGAGAAAGGGGCCAGAGTTCTGCCCCTGTCTGGGAGGTGGGGCCCCGGCACATACCGTGCAACCTGGAGGCAGCACCAACAGGAAAGGCCTCTCCCTTGGAGACCTCAAGTTCAATTTGAGATGGGAATGGGAGAAGGAACAAAGGAACATTAATGAAAGAAGGGGGGTCTTCACAATCCACTATTTGTCATCACAAACGCACCCTCGCCTCCCCACTGGAGGCTAGGAGCACATTTGCACAGGGGGGCATGCCTGCCACCTCAGCACTCTGGAGATGGAATCCTGAGGAACGCAGGTTCAAGGTCATGCTTGGCTACATACTGAATTGCGGCTAGCCCGTGTTACGCAAGGCCCTGTCTTTAAAGCAGGGAGGAAAGCTGGAGAAATGGCGAAACACTCTTAAGTTAAGAACACCTGCCAGCCGGGCGGTGGCGGCGCACACCGCCTTTAACCCCAGGACTCGGGAGGCAGAGCCAGGCAGATCTCTGTGAGTTCGAGGCCAACCTGGGCTACAGAGTGAGATCCAAGACAGGCACCAAAACTACACAGAGAAACCCTGTCTCGAAGAGAGAAAAAAAAAAGAGCACTTGCTACTCTTTCAGAAAACCCGAGTTTGGGTCACAGTCCCCATGTCAGGGATCAGACAGTATCTTTTGGCCTCTCATTACCCCCACAACTGTGTCCATACTAACAAAGAGGCGCACACATAATACACATAAAGAAAAACAAAAGAAAAACTAAAGAAGAGAGAGAAATCTTTCACAGGGTACAACTCTTCCAGGTGAATCAAGGGGTTTCCAAGGATGGATTTGTTAAATATTGAACAAAGCACCTGGAGAATTCAGTGGAGCTGACAAACATGTTTGCCTTGGCAAAGGGGAGTCCTGGGTCAGTCCCAGCTCCCTGCTTCCTTGGGTTTCCTCCCACCGCAGATTCAGAAGTGCCCTGATGGAGGCTGTGATGCCCATGCACTTCCGAGCAGCTGCCCAGCAGAGCCTCAGATGACGCAGCTGCTGGAGGAGGAGAGCGGCAGCGGCAGAGCTGTGGGGTTAGAAGGGCCGAGAAAACCCATCAGCTCCCGGGTCCCCGTCGTGGACAAAGCAAACTGACAGCAGAACTGTCAAATGACTTGGTCTTGAAACCCGGGAAGTACTGGAGTCAAAGTCAAGTCTGTCCATGTGAGACCCAACCCTTTCCCATGAAGCTTGAAGCTCACCACCAGGTAGGACGGCTGTGTTCCGAAAGTTATTCAGCACATTAGGCAGTCATCAAATGGGAGGAAAATTCCGGGTAGTGCTAATACCCATCCTTTCCTCCTTCCTTCCTTCATGTGTTCGTTCTCTTTGTCCAGTAAACACTAATTGAGTTCCTTCTCTCTTGTAGACACTGCCAGGATCTGGGGCCACAGAACAAGGAATGCGGTTCACTAAGTCTAGCAGGGAGTCACAGAGAACCAACAAGGGCAAGGCGAGGTGCTGAGTGCTATGAAGAGCGTGTGTGGCTGGTCTAGGGAACCCACTCCCAACGCTAAGGCCACTGAATAAGTTCCAGACGCAATGGGGCTGGACAGATGGCTCAGCGGTTAAGAGGACCCAGGTTCAATTCCCAGCACTCACATGGCAGTTCACAACTGTCTGTAACTTAAGTTCTAGTGGTTCCAATGTCTTCATACAGGCATACATTCAGGCAAAATAACAATTCACATAAATAAAACAACAACAAACAAAAAGTCAGAATCAGAAAAATAAGCCGGACACAGCCCCCTGCTTAGTAATACAATCGCTTAGCACCACAGTCCACAATAAAATGTTCAATGCTAGAGATGGATGCCTACTAGACTAGTGGGAAAGGAAGCATGAAACTGAGATGAAATCTAAGACTCCGTGGTATCTGGGAGCATTCATCTGCGCTGGGTCTTTTCTGTCTGGCTCTGCAGTTCGGCTCTCTGCCTCCTCCCTGCTTGCTGTGCATCTGGGATACCGCCCTTGTGAGCTAACCAACAGGAGGCAGCCTGACTTCCAGCCTGCGGTTGCTTGGACCAGTGGAAACTACACCAGGAACTGGACTGGGAAAAGACAGTGAAGTTGGGCACTCATTCCTCCCATGCCTTCCTCATGGATGGCCTTGACCTAACTGGGTTTTCGGCGCTACGAAGCCCGGTGGCTCCCCTCCCCCCATCCCTGCTGCCAACTCTCTGAGACTGCATCTTGATGTCACTAAGCCCAGGTCCTGCCTCACCCTCCCTACTCCCCACCCTCACCCTTGTAAACAGTTCAGTATTGATCTTTCCTCAAATTACTTAAATGACCTCAATTGTGGGTGCTGAGACCCTCATGAATGCACATCTGGTTTGGGGTCTAGCTCATTTTTGTTTTCTTCTGTGTTTTGATAGCTCTCTATAATAACCACTTTTGGCAGTGTGTGGTCAACACACAACTCCTTATTTTCTCTGACAACCACCCCCAAATCACAGTGTAGCCCAGGATCTAGGTTTGTGCCGAGTGCCCATAACTGACTGAACTAAAGACCAAAGGTCAACTAGGCCAACCAGATGTCATATCCTAGACCCCCAGCAGGACTGTGGATCTCTGTCAGCTTTGGCAAATCAATCTCACAAACAAACCAAAACTAAAAGGCAGCTTGGCTGGGGAAAAAGAG